GTGGGGAACTGTTGGTGTTTGGGTGGACGGCCCTGTGCCGTGGGGAACTATTGGTGTTTTTGGTGGACGGTCCTGTGCCGTGGGGCACCGTGGGCAGCGGGACACTGAACAGCAGGCACCCTGCACTCTGCCCACCAGATGCCAGTGGCACCACCCTTAGTGTCACCCTTAGTGACAACCAAACGTGCCCTGTGGAAGTGCCCTGGGAGAGACCCCGTTTCAGCCGTTGTCAGGGCCAGGCCCGCAGTAAGCACAGTGGGTGCCTCTAGGACCCCTCCCGCCACCCCGTCACCATAGACTCATTCTCCCTGTGGTCGAAGTTTAAATCACATTGAATGTGTTTATTATTTGGGAGGGGTTAACGTCTGGTCGCCCGCCCTCCGCAGAACCTCCCGTTCCCTCTGAAGAGCCGTGGAGGCTGGAGGGAGCTGGAGGGCTCTCGAGGAGACTGGGCGAGGGGCGGACACCCTGGACGGCAGGGCCGGGCCTCCCTGGGCAGGTGGTGTCACCCGGGGAGTTTTGGAATCAGCCTGCAGAGCCCTGTCTCCTCCTTCCACCGCCCACAGAAGCCCGCTGGTGCCAGGGGCTCCTCCCGGCCAGGAGGATTGGGGGCTGCCTTGCTTGAGGATGGCAGCCTGGGCTTCTGTCATTCATAACCCACAGGAGTCCTCTTGAGGGAGGGGCATGGTGCCCTGGAGAGCCCTGGAGTTGAGGTTTCAGAGCCGACGCGGGGTGCTGTGTTGGCTGTCTGCGTCAGTCTGCCAGCTGTGAACACACCGCATGTTTTAGAAACACCGTCCGTGGGAAAAGTGCTCACGAGAACTGTTACTTATTTGGCTATTAGGATGAAACCAGTTTACTTTTCTTTTAATTCATTTATTCATCCATGTATGCAACAAATAATTCGGCACTTACTGTATACCACAGACAGCTTTGTCTTTTTATATGAACGTCTCTGTGTATCAGAAAAAAAGAGAAAACACATTTCCTCTAAGAGACAGAACAGGCACCTTTGGTGAAGGTAACTGAGCGAGCTGTGTGGGGTGCGGTGGAGAAGAAACGGCCACTTGGGAGCTGGGGCAGCCCCGTCCCACTCAGCTGTGGGGCCGCAGCGAGAGGCTCGGTCTTGCTGCACGTGGCGCACACGGGAGGCCCCGGGCGACGTGGCCAGGCCGTGCCGTGGCAGCTCCAGCCCTCCTGGTCTGAGCAGCTCATTGGGTGTTGGTGCGTCCAGCAGGCTCCCGGGTGTTGCTGTCGTCATAGCAACCGGATGTTTCTCAGGATTTTTTTTTCTGTTTCAATGCTTTATTAACAGTTGGAAACAAAACCAACGCACTGGAGGTGATGGCGTCAGAAGCCTGAGGCAGGGAAATGGGTTTGCATTTTGTCCCCCCTCTTTTTCTTTTTATTAAATACATCATAGCAAAAATAGATTTAAAAAAAAAGGGTCTCAGCCCCAGATGACAGCGAGCAGGGAGAAGGAGGTAAAGACGGGGCCATCGGGCGAGGAGGGAGGAACCTGCTGTGTTTTGGGGCCGGGGGACGGGGCATCGTCGGGCGGGGAGGGAGGAACCCGGTGCGTTGGTGCCAGCGTGGGAGGACCCGGCCTTTTCACGTCGTGTGGCGTCTGTCTTACAGGGAGTCCGGGGAAAGCCTGTGCGTTTCCGTCCTGCAGCGTCCCCCTTCGGAAGACCCAGCTGTTACCGCTGTGATCTGAGGCCCTGTGGGAACAAATCTTAGCTCCGTGTTGTCCACAGACACCGACTTTCAAAAGCTTTTTTCTTTCTCCTTTTAAGAAACACGGGAACGTACAGCTAAATATCTACACTCATTTGTTGCAAAAAAACAAATCCCAGAAAACAAAACAAAAACAAAAAACTCCCAAAAACAAAACCAAAAAAAACCCCAAAAAATCCCAAGGGAAATATGGTCGGCGTCCGTTCACACCGTCGAGGTGTCGGGAGGAAAGTCAGCAAAGTCGCGCTGCGTTGAGGGCGAGGACTTCTCTCTGCTGCAGAAGCTGTCGGTTCCGAAACAACCGGGAGACTGGAGGGGCCCCATCCGACGCGGGCTGTGCTGAGGCTGCCCTCAAAATTGGGGGCGACCAGGACGGCTGCGTCTGCTCCGGGAACCTCACCCGCCATCCCCCAGGCTCCCTTCCCTTTCTGGAGAAGCTCGCCAGCCGTGCTCTCCCCTTGGTGCCTGTGAACTCGTCACACACCCTAACTGTGTGTGCTGCCTGCGTGTGCTGCCTGCGTGTGCTGTGGGTGCTGCCTGCGTGTGCTGTGGGTGCTGCCTGCGTGTGCTGTGTGCGTGTGCTGTGTGTGCGTGTGCTGCCTGCGTGTGCTGTGTGTGTGTGTGCTGTGCATGTGCATGTGCTGCCTGCGTGTGCTGTGTGTGTGTGCTGTGCGTGTGTGCTGTGTGTGTGCGTGTGCTGCGTGCGTGTGCTGTGTGTGCTCTGTGTGCTGCCTGCGTGTGTGCGTGTGCTGCCTGCGTGTGCTGCCTGCATGTGCTGCCTGCGGGACCTTCACATCGGTGGGAGCCTTCAGAAAGCCTGTCTTTTGACATTTGATGACCGACCTGAGGCCTGGCCTGGAGCCGGGTGCCTCGTAGCAGCCTGGCTGTGTTCTCCGTGCAGCGGGTGAAGGTGCGTCCCGGGAGAGTCGCCGTGTTGAGCTGTTCTGAGGGTCCAGTGCCCATCAGGAAGTATTCATTTGTTTTTTCCCACCAACCGATTATCTTTGACGCTTCCTTAATGATTCCCAAAATAAAAATTTCCAGAACCTTTTGAATTAGAGCGTCTCAGAGCCAGACGAGCCTTCGAGAGCTGCCGTGTCGCTTGCTTTGCAGTTCAGGAGTTTCAGGCCCACAGGGGCAGACCGTGTGTCGGGGGCGCTGGCGGGAAATGGCCGCAAGCAGTGAGGCCCTGAGAGCCGCTCCAGTGGGCAGCAGCGGGTGCCGCTGGGAACGCCTGCCGGCACCTCGGCCCCGAGACACACGCAGTGTGGACACGGGAGCCTTCGTCCAGACCCCGCGGCTTCTCCTCCTTCGCACAGTGCCCCAGGTTAATATGGTGGATGAAAAGTCTTTAAAAAGCTTCAAACTGAGTTTATCTCTGCCCTCTGGAGTTTCTGGCCTGCCAGTTTGCAAATCGGCATCTTCGAAATGAGCCGACCGCCCACGTGGGCGAGGACGTGTGTGCTTGCTGAGTTGACGCGAAGCTTTGGAAGGGGCAGAAGTGGGGATCTGAGAAACTTCGACTCTGCTCCTGTTTTTGATTTTGTTTCAACAAGAATAAGGTGATGTGGCCCCGAGTGGCGCCAGCAGGAGCTACGTGAGCCTTGGTGTGGTCTCAGCGTGGTGCCTGTGCCTGCATCTGTCCTCTCGTCCTGCGCCCTCGAGACACCACGGCCAGGCGTGTTTAGAGCCAAATGACGGAGGCGGAGAAGGCCCTGGGGAGGCGCGAGTGTGTTTGAGACGTTTGTTTTACAGAATGGACTTAAACTGGGCACCCGCCGTCTGGATCGACAGCTGCCACTCATCCCTCCCGGCTCCCTCCCGATTCTCTGGTAAACTGGGCTGTTAGGCTTGCCGCTGGGGCGTGCTCCGAGCTGCCAGCAGAGCAGTCACAGCTGGGGTTCAGTTATGACCTCCAGATCGACCCCGGCAAACAAGGAGTCCGGCACCGCGGTCGTGAGTCCGGCGCCACGGGCGTTTTCTGCAGGGCCAGCCGGGAACCGGCTCGACTTCCTTCACGTGCATTCAGGTGGTGTCTCTGGGCTTGAGGGAGGGAGACGTGGACCCAGCTTAGGCCCCTCTGGGACGCTTCTCTTAACTGGCAATTCAAACAGCTGGAGTTCACAGTCAAATCACGTCCACGAGAAGGAGCTCTTTCCTTTAATTCTGGTGCCAACTTTGACCTAATATCATAACATAAAATTCAAAATAAAAAGGGACTCAGTGGATAAATGAATAAGCAAGACGAGGTCCCTCTGCACGATGGAAAGTTATTCAACCTGAAAAAAGAAGGGAATCCAGTCAGCGGCCATAGCAGGGCCACCCTGGAGGGCACTGGCTGAGCGGAGTGAGCCAGAAGGACACGTCCCGTGGATCCCACCGACGTGAGGCCCAGAGCAGTCAGATCCAGAGACAGACGGGGGCAAGGGCCGGCCGACGTGAGGCCCAGAGCAGTCAGATCCAGAGACAACGTGGGGCAAGGGCCGGCCGATGTGAGGCCCAGAGCAGTCAGATCCAGAGACAACGTGGGGTGAGGGCCGCTGGAGACAGCAGGAGGGGATGGGAGCGAGTGTTGAACGGGGCCCGAGTCTCCGTTTCGCACGATGAGAGCGTTCTGGAGAGGACGGCGGTGATGGTTGCACAACTCGGTGAACGTGGTTAATGCTACGGAACTGTGCACTCGAGCAGGTCTGAGATGGAAAATTGTATGTTAAAATAAAGTGACTAATGCGGGGAAAACAAAGTGAGACACAGGAATCCCGAGTCCCAGGCTGGCGGGTCCCTGCTTGCGCCACTTGCATTTCAGGGTGGCGTGCGTGTCCGTTGCCTTTCGGCGAGAGAATGTCCCGCGCGTGTACACGTGGTGTGCGCATCCACGTTTTGACTTGCGGTGGCAAAAAACCCAAGCCTTTGTAGAGAGTGGTGAATGCACACACGCGGCGGCCGGCGTGCGGCTGTGAAGTGAACCTGCGGTTTGGAAGCGTGTCTGCGATGAGCAGGGGACCAGACGTTTCCACGCTGCTGATGACGTGTGTCGCTTTTACTTTTTAGGTGAAGCCAAAAACCTTCCCTCTTACCCGGGGCCAAGCAAGATGAGGGATTGCTACTGCACGGTGAACCTGGACCAGGAGGAGGTTTTCAGGACCAAGATTGTGGAGAAGTCGCTCTGGTAAGGTCCTCTGCTGCTTTACCTGACACCGATGTGTTTTCTTTGGTGTAGAGAACGTCCCGAGCGTGGACGTCACCTTCCCATTTTCCGGCGGGTAGAGAATTTTTCTGTGTGTAGACAATGTCCCGAGCGTGGACGTCACCTTCCCATGTTCCCGCACGTAGATAGTGTCCCAGGCATGTACATCCCCTTCCCATTTTCCCGCGGGTAGAGAATTTGTCTGTGTGTAGACAACGTCCTGAGCGTGTACGTCACCTTCCCACTTTTCTTGCTGCTTAGTTTGAGGAGGAGGAGGTGCTCCCTGGGGCTCTGGTGTGCAGGCAGCTGGGCTTCTGACCTTGGCGGTGCGCAGATGTGAACCGGTGTTGGCTAAATGCTCCGCTGTCCAGGAAGCACATGTTGGTGGCGGCCCCCACGTGGACTCACAGGGCTGTCCAGGAAGTATATGTCAGTGGCGGCTGCTGTGTGGACTCGTGGGAGTGCTTTTTAATTAGAGATGAACTGGGAAGCTTGTACTCCACGAGAATACAAATTAAGGATTTCGAGAGGGGGAAATGCTGAGAAAGATTTTCCTTCCTGTGTACAGAAGATGGGTGTTAACTGAGGTACGGGGCCCAGAAAGCGTTGATTGATACGATTTGAGGAAGAGAGGAGTCAGCCAAGAAAAGCAAACTCTTGAAATCAACAAGTTTGCCGCTCAACTCGAGCATGTGCGGATGTGGGTGCCGACCCCGGGACGTCCAGGGCAGGGCCAGAACGTGTGTTTCTGAAAAGCTCCAGCGGGGCGCAGGCCGTGCTTGGAGGACCACTGCAGTTGAACACCAGGACACGGTGCGTGGTGGGATGCACAGGGACAGGAAGCCACGGTTTATGTCGGGGGCGGGAAGAGAGACGCCAGGGAGAGTGTGCCAGGCAGGGCCTCGGTGCTGCGGCCTCAGGGGAAGCGTGGGGCGGCCGCGTTACAAGGAGCGGCCTGGGGATCAGGGAAGACGTCCGCGCAGCTGTGACTCCACCGTTCAGTTCAGAACCACGTGTGCTCTCGTCAAAACAGCGCTTCTGATTTTGAGAACACGTTTAGCTGAAGAATCACATCCTTGCGTCTGGCTACTTCCAGGCGGGAATGAACCACCCATTCTGACGACTGGGTGACTTCACCTATTAGAACACTGTGAGGGGTCTCCTGCCCCGGGGGCTGGGACCATCTCACGCCGTCAGTCACAGTGCTTCCAAAAGGCTTCGGCGCAGCTGCCCGCCAGGCCGAGGTACGAGAGTCGTTTGTGTTATGTTAGTGCACACTCCGGGTTCTTTGAAATAACTCGTCAAAAGGAACTGCAGGCTGAACATTGTCAGGCGCCCAGTCCGGCTTTGCGAGAGTCTTGGGGGTTGCCCTGGCGATGACTGGGCATGGCCATTCTTCAGAAGAAAATGGGAAGAGACATGATCGGGCCCTTCAGAAGCCCCTTTGGCACTTCCCTGGATAAAAGTCGGTTCTGTGTTTAAATGGTCCGTTGTTAGAGGCCCGTGGATTTTAGGCCCGAGGCCGGCCATTACTGGCAGTCTTTATCGGGCTTGGATCCTCTCAGACCTGCTCAATCAGAGCCAGTGGGAGGAGGACCTGTTTGGGAACCTCTTTCAGGTGAGGTTGAGAAATGGGGGCCCCTTGTCTTTCAGTTATTTCAGAAGAATTTAGAAATAGAAGTCATGGTTCTGGCCGGGTGTGGTGGTGCACACCTGTAATCCCGGCACTTTGGGAGGCTGAGGTGGGAGGATTGCTTGAGGCCAGGAGGTTGAGGCCACAGTGAACCACAATTGCATCACTGCACTCCAGCTGGGGCCACAGAGCAAGACCTTGTCTCAAAAAAACCCCAGACACACACACAACAAAACATGGTAGCAAAGAAAGGGAAACCCACGTGGGACAGTTCCGAGAGAGTAAAACCGTGGCGCCGTTCAGTGTGGGCGCTGGCAGCCCCGTCCACGTGTAAAACCGTGGCGCCGTGTAGTGTGGACGCTGGCAGCCCTGTTCACTGGGGCTGTGTGGGCTGGCCACAGGCTTCCCCTGTAGTGTGAGGACAAAGTGTGCATCAACCCACCCCATATGAAAAGTTGGCAGGAAATGTACTTGAACCCAAAACCTGGCTCTCTCATAAGTTTGCAGCTGGAATCCACATGGCATCTGTGGTCAGAAGCCCTCAGTCTGTGCATGTGCATTAACGTGGTCCCGTGTTAGTCATTGGTCAGCATCCACCTGAGAGGCAAGTGTCAGGCAGGGTTGCCCTGCGTGCCAGGGAGTTTAGCCCTGGCCACCGCCCGCTCTTTGCTCCATGGTGGCACCCACTTTGGGGCCGGTCCCCCGAGTCTCCCAGCCCCTGAGTCTCCCAGGCCCCTGAGTCTCCTGCCCCCCGAGTCTCCCATCCCCCAGTCTCCCAGCCCCCCGCATCTCCCAGCCCTGAGTCTCCCAGGCCCCTGAGTCTCCTGCCCCCGAGTCTCCCATCCCCCAGTCTCCCAGGCCCCCCAGTGTCCCAGCCCTGAGTCTCCCAGCCCCCCGCGTCTCCCATCCCCCAGTCTCCCAGCCCCCCAGTCTCCCAGCCCTGCGGGTCTCCAGTCTCCTGGCCCCTGAGTCTCCTGGCCGCCAAGTCTCCCAGCCCCGAGTCTCCCATCCCCCAGTCTCCCAGCCCCCCGAGTCTCCTGCCCCCGAGTCTCCCATCCCCCAGTCTCCCAGGCCCCCCAGTGTCCCAGCCCTGAGTCTCCCAGCCCCCCGCGTCTCCCATCCCCCAGTCTCCCATCCCCCAGTCTCCCATCCCCCAGTCTCCTAGCCCCCCAGGTCTCCCAGCCCCCCGGGTCTCCCAGCCCCCCGGGTCTCCCAGCCCCCCAGTCTCCCAGCCCCGAGTCTCCCATCCCCCAGTCTCCCAGCCCTGCGTCTCCCGGCCCCCAGTGTGCTGCTTCCTCCAAGGTCAGTGTCACCTTTAAGGTCTGATGGTTCGTTTGGCAAAGTCGCTGTGGAAAGACAAAGAGCCCACGTCTGCATCTGTGAGCCCCGAAGGGCCCCAGGGTGCTCTGTGGCCGCTGGGTCTGCAGCCTGGCAGGAGCCCCTCCTCACGGTCCCTGGGGAGAAGCGCTTGGGTTGAGTTTGATTTGCTGTTGCCCAATATCGCAGTCTGACTCAGCAGGAAGCTGCAAATGGAATGTGTGAAGAAGGCAAGGCGGAACTCAGCCTCTCTTCTTCCCTCTTTCCCACTAAGGAGGTTACAGACCCAGCTCCACCGCGGGCCTGTGTCCCCCAGGCCACCTCCCTGCGTGTGGCCCCCGCGTCCGAGGCCCTGCAGTCTGTGGGGCCTCTAGCGGGTGCTGAGCCGACGTCTAGGGAGAGCGTCCTCCTCTGTCTTCCCCTTTTTCTCTAGTTTTCAAGGTGGAGGTTGAGGGGCAGCATCTGTCACAGGCGTAACTTCAGAACGCATCGAAGTGGACACGTTTTGGAGGACAAGCCCTTTCTCTCTGGCCTTGGCAGTTTCTGTCCCACTAGAAAAATGTTTTCCTGAGGTTGAGTGAGCTTTGTTCACAATCCATACCTTTCAGAGCATCATTTTTAATCATTTAAAGGGCAGCCACTATTTGTTTCCTTATTTACTTAAGCGAAAAGCTCCCTGAAATCGGATTGGCAGGACTGGGGCTTGGGGACCAGCTTCCCACCCTGGACCTCCCCTGGGCCGGCACCCCCGACCCTCAAACAAGGAGATGACGCCACTCCCCAAGGCTGCCCCGCGGTGGAGATCGCCGTCTCGTCCAGCAGAAAGGAGCAGTTGGCCAAGTCACACACAACAGAACCTCAGTCTCTCCCTTCTGGGTCAGTCTGTCATTTGTAAGAATATTCGGTGAGCGTCATGTCCCCGTTTCCTTCTGTCCACGTGAGGACGTGAAATGTTGTCTGTCCTGCCTGCGTCTTCTGCGCCCACGTGGCCGACCTCCCCAAACCCTCATCCACGCAGACAGTCCTGGCTCAGGGAGGCGCTGCCTCGGGGTTCTGGGTCTGACCCCGCCCCTGCCGCGGGGTTGAGTCTGGGCAGAGCCCCCTGCCCCACGCGGAGCCCTGCCCCCCTTTCTGCGGTGTTGCCCCCGCGTCCTTTGCAGGGTTCATTTGCATATGCCCATCTCGGGGAGAGGGGGTTGTGGCCACAACAGGAAGAAACTTCAGGCGTGGCCGGTTTCGGTGC